ACCTTACTCGGTATTGTTGCCATTTAACGAGTTGATCGTCATTCCGTGGACGGCAGTAGAACCCCACTGGCCGCGCACTCTGTGCACCGAATGTTAGCGTTTTGAGCGCTACGAGTCCAAGGGTTTCCACTACCGTGTGCGGAGTGAAGACGGGCGTAAAGAAAGAGCCACGCGACTGAGACCCTCCACGTCAGACTCGGAACTAACCAGCGAACGACGACGAGACTTGATACGAAAACGGGACATGCGAAGCGTGTCCAAGCCTTTCTGTTGTAAAGGACGGGTTGTAGCCCGGTGGGAGGCACGACAATACTTTTTGGATTGAATTTGGATCTTTCCCTCTCTTCCCGCCTTGCCCGCGCGCGCATTCTGCGACGCGCGAAAACGATCGACTTGCTCCATCGGACCAACACGGGGGATTTCAGTTCCGTCTGTGTCCCCACACTCAATTTCCAAAATTCCTTGGCACACCCCATCTTGCTGGTTTTCTGGGCCTCTTCTCCGCACAGCTAACACTCCGAACGGAAGACAGCACAGGGCGTGAGGTTGCGCGTCACACACACAAACCCAGGACACGGGCGTGGGGACAAAGGAAGCAGGTGGAGGACTGTGCATCTCACTGGCGGCTGATCATCATAAGATACAGACAGCTGAACCAGGTGGCGACAGTGAGAAATGGGAATCGACTGGTCTGCTGGATTACAACAGAGGGCAGAGCAGCATCTCATTTGCCACCCGTCCTACGCTGACATATAGACAAACAGAGTAAGCCATGAGACTGGGAGCTCCTGCCTGATTCCAGCCACTGGAGCATCGGCACTGGGGCCTGAACCCCTGCCTCTAAGGACTACGAATGAAAGGGCTGGGTGACTGAACTTGGTAGAGGATGTAGGGGTAAAGGGCCAACGGACATAATAGATCAGCTGTACAGAAACAACACAATGGGGGGGTTGCAGACACTGGGGATGAGAGTACAGCCACTGATATCTGACGTGAGGACACATATAAGTAACGCGAACACCATCCTTGGTGGGGATAGGCCAGCAGAAAAGTAGGAGCTCCGCAAATTGGAAGGGTAACATAGGCAGCCCCGAGGGAGAGAAGGTTGCTCTGGAGCAGGAAATTAGATGGCCATATACCCAACAAACATTGCACTATAATGATGTTTCAAGGGACGCTGGACCCGGTTTCCAGCAGGTGCTGCTCCCCACCAATAGATGGAGCCTCCCCGGAGGTGCTAGATGTGTCTGCTCTTATCAGCACACCTAGCACCCGACCGGGTTGTTTGTGCAAAAA